TATCTCCCCATGACCATGGAAACAAGCATGCTCACTTGGAGATATAAGGGACACTTCAGCCAAGTCATGCAAAATCCATAGAAGAGGTGTTCTAGGCCATTTGTGATTTGTGCAAAAAGCAGCAGGGAGGCAGCTAGACTATGCCTGGTGCCTAGGTCTTGAAGCACTCTAGTGTTCCCAAAATGGGGGTGCCCCTCAGCTGAGGTGCTCTGGGGCTATTCTCGTCTATGGTGAGCTAAGAGGGGCTTCTTACACTTTAAGGGTAAAGAGAATGATGAACTTGAATTAAGAGCCGGTCCTCAAAGCTCACAGAATTTCCCATCTTGCTTTTTGGGGCGGGGGGGGGGGGGAGGCACCAAACCTCCAGCTCAGAGTTGTAGAATATACTTCTCAAATGCGAAACTCTGCCTTGGGGTCAGTCTGGAGAGCAGCACAGCGGTGTCTCTGTGGGATGCCGCTGACATATGGCAGGTGTAGCTCAAAGGTGTTATCAGGCACCCTACAAACTGCAGGGCAGTCTCGTAAGGAACATCATGAAGAACCTCGGGGTTCCCATGCCTTTCATCCCAGCACTCAGGAGGTTGAGGCACAGGAATGGAAAATGCATGACCAACCTGGGACACACAAGGAGGGGAGCAAGGGCTAACATACACATCAGGATCCAATGTCAGGGATGCCATCACAGTCCACTTGTCACTTATAAGTTATTTGTTTTAGCCTCTGAGTGTGGGGGGAGCATTGTTTATTTTTTAGCTGGGGGGGGGAACAAAACTATTTTTAGTCTCCAATTTATTGACTGAATTGTTACCTTTCCCCATTTTGGAATGGGAGGTGAACAAGACAGAGAATTCTGGTTACCAGCTCCCCAAGGTCCAGAGACACCTAAGTCAGGTGGAAGGCCCCATCCCAGGGAAAAGTAGGGTCAGTGCCCAAGGGACCTTGGGAGCAACCTCTCAGACTCAGGGGCTCCCAGTCCCCGGTGAGGCTAAGTGTTCCTTGAATTCCCCCTCTAGGACCTAAACCCTATAGCACACAATCATTTGGAGCAATGTTCCCACAAAGACACCCTCACACACAAAGGCACCTAGCTAACCAAGCCTAGGCCTTGCTTGTGCACAGGGGCTAGGTCAAGGAGTTATCACATAGGGCTCTCCAACTCTAAGGAGAGGACCTGTGCCAGATTCGCCTGCCTCACTCCCTCTTTCCTTCCTTTGTTTAGAAACATTATTTTTATTATTTGTAATCATATTATGTGTGGGGGAGGGATATGGAATGAGTGTGGGTGCTCGTGGATGTAGATCCCTTGGAGCTGGAGTTACACTTAGCTATGAGCTGCCTGATGTGGGTGCTGGAAACTGAATTCTGGTCCTCTACAAGAGCAGTGCATGTTTTTAATCCCTGAGCCACCTCTCCCTTTTTTTTAAAAAAAATTATTAAGCTGTAGTCGAGCCTGGCCTTGAATTCATGCTTAGCCTTCCGAGTGTTGGAATGGCAAACTGGTACCACCACAATCAGCTCAGCTAAAGTTCTACCATGGCCCCTGAGCTCCAAAAGCAAACCTAGCAACAAGATCCCTGAACTTCTGGATCTTACTCAGGCAGACAGACAGTAAACAGACAGGCGCAATAAATCAGGAAATTACAGAGGTGTGAAAGCCACAGGCTTCACAGAAAGCCAGGAGGGCTGTGGGAGCTGCAGTTTGAAGCAGGGTGTGCGGGTGATGCCCTGGACGGAGCGGGCTCTTTAAGGGTGGGGCGAGGGAGTGGGATGGAAGAGAGGAGGTGACAGCACACTCCACCCTACGGATGCAACTTGAGGGGCTGAGGGTCTCTGTTCACGGTCTAGGGCTGCCCTCCCTAGAACGATCACACACACACACACACACACACACACACACACACACACACACTCACACACACACGCACGCACCATCTCCTTTGTCAGACTGTGAGCCAAGGGGACGGAAGTGGCCACTGTCCCAGTGGCACTCATGCCTGGCATCTAGCAGAAAAAGCACCTGTGTTTGCAGTTCGCCTGGAGAGGAGAGCCAACCCGGCTAGATCCAAGCAGTTGTGGGACGCACACAGCTGAGCTCACACTAGAAGGTATGGGCGAGGGAAAGCCCTCCTGTCCTGAGCACACAGACAGCTGCTCAAGAGTCACCCCTCAGCAAAACTCACCAAGGAAAGCACCACTCCGACCCGCAGGGGCAAGTAGCTACACACAGGGGAATCAAGGCAGTCTCCAGCCTAGGCCTGAACCACAAAGTGTGCAGAAGAGACACACATGGATACAAGCAGAATTGGAAACCGACTGGATCCAGTGATGCTTGGTCTCCTTCAAGCTATGGAGCGCCCCCACCCCAACCCCAGGACCACATTTTCTGAATTCACCAGCAGCCATTTGGTTCTATCCTAGGCAGAGAGGCTTGCTGTCTGGCTGGGCACCTCCAGCTCAACAGGGAACCCCACCTTGGCCAGCCCCTCCCCCAGTGGTCCCACTGAGGCGCTGGAGGAGGGAGGGGAAGTGTCTGGCAACTGGAAATCTGATCCCTGAGTGCAGCCCACACAGAAACCAGAGCTTTCAATGTCCTTGGCTTCAGTGTCTGGCTGGAGAACCAGCAGAGGGCGGGAACAGAGACCAGAGGCTCCCATCTGTGGTGAGAGGTGGCTCCCATTCTTACTACACTTACTTAGGGTATATCCTCCAGGGGTTCTTGCCCCGCCTGACCCTCTCCATTCTCCTCTGTTAGATGCCCATGCTAAGGCTGAAGTATCATCGGATCTCTTGACAGCCTGGTGGGACACTGACACCAGGGACACGGGGAGCAGACAGTCCTCAGTGCAGGTGGAAACCAGAGGGCCTGATGCAAACAGACTCCTCTGGCTGGGTCTGCTGGCTCCTCCCCCCTCATGGGGCTTCCAGAGCACCCCCTAGGAGAAGGGGGTTCCCCAGGGCAGGCTGGGAATAGAACCTAGCTTGACTCTCTGGCCTTCCACCTCCTCCTCCCAAGGCTCAGTGGCCCAGGTGCACTAGTCCTCAGCATCCCACCCTCCCCCAACTCTGGGGGCTCTCTCCACACCTAAGGGGTCCAGCAGCACAGGTGAGAGCAGAGTATGCCAGTCCCCACAAATGGGAGCCAGGAAGCACCTCAGGAAGTAGAAGCATCAGGGTGGCCCAACCCAGAGAAGGAAGATGGTGGCACACCAGCGGGAGGGCCAGAGTACACACATTCAGGTACACGGCTGTGGCTCAATGCAAAGGTGCCACACCGCCAGCCATGGAATTAGTTCCCCTTTCCGCCTTCCAGATGATTTTTTTCATCTCTGTAATTAATGGGCAAGTCATATCTGAACGGCGTGGCAGGCAAATTGCTAGTTAGGAAAATCACAGATAATTTTCTCGATATGATAATGAAGGTTGTATCCTGTCTCTTAGTCTTCCTGTTTTCATCCTACTTTTAAGTAATAAATTCGGCATTAATGGGCAGGGTGTGGAGAGGAAGTCACCTGTCCCCAAAGCTGGAACCTGTCCTAGCCGGTTTCCCAACACTCATACAATCAAGGTTCCCAGTGCCTGACCGTGGGCAGATGGAGAAGATCTTCAATGGAACACCCTGACATTCTATGATTGATGGGGTAGTGCCAGGATCTAGGGAGCAGGAGGAGAACAGGGAGCCATCAGGCTATGGGCCAGAATGGAGTTGGGCTTGGGGTTGGATTACAAACTCCTGTCCTTGGGGTGCAAGAAAGAGAAACAGGTACAGATGGCCTCTCTCTCAGCAGCACTGGAGGTCAACAGGCCCAGAAAAGACATCCGCCCTCAGGTGTCCTCCACACCTGTCCTTATACCATCTAACTCCTTCTCCACGGCGACCCCTTACTCTATCAGAGGCATGAGGGTAAGCAGAGAGAGGGGGAGACAGACAGAGATAAAGAGGCTGCCAGCCATCTTGGCGGCCATCTTGAACCCCTCCCCCAACTCCCCCAAACGCACCACATGTTTGGATATGGGAAGACAAACCTGGCTCTGGGTCCCATAGAGGCTGGGAAAGAAGGGGGATGTGGTTCACATTGGGACAGGAGGGACATCCATGAAGATGCCAAGGCTGAGGAGAAGGTGGGATGGGGAGTGGGGATACCAGGAAGGTACAGTAGGTAAGATGCTGGGCAAGGATAGGGCTGGGAGCTGACCTAGACGAGAAGTGTACAGACTGGGATGTGTGAGCTTAGGGGCTGTGTGCCGGTGGGGTGCCATCTTCACATTGGTGCTCGGGGTGCACTGAAGTGATAACATCTGAGGGCATTTTCTGGCCACTGCTAGAGTATACACGACCCTCCCACCACACACACACAACCACACACACGAACTGGACTTTCACCCAGGACCCACAAACGGGACGATGACAGCTGAGCCACACAGCTATGTTTCAGGAACACCTGGAAGAAGGGCGAGCTCAAACCGGTAGATCCAACCTGACAGCCTCCATCGGTGCTTAACCGGGTACCTCACGCCTGCACCCGGTCCTGCCCACGGCGCCCCTCCGGGCTGAAACCCGCTCGACACCCATACAGACCTCTCCCCATCCCCTCCGCGCCATGCCTCCAGGAGAAAAACAACCCTAAACCTAGCATCCTGCGGTGCCAGCCCCCCGACATGGCTTCTCTGGGGAGCCGGGGTCCGCGCGCCGCGCGCACACGCACCCTCTCCACTCACACCCAGACACCTACACAAACAGGGCGCCAAGCACCCGCGCGCACACGCACCGGGGACACGCAGGCACCGCCGCGCCGCTTCCCCACAAAGGCCGGCGCGCGCGCGGGCACACGCAGCCACGCGCGGGCACACTCGCGGTCCCCTCCCCCTGCAGGGCACCCTGCGGCCGCCCATTCGCACCCCCACCGAGCCCCTGGCGGGCGGGGGTAGGGTGCTTCCCCCGCCCCTCTCACCGCGCACACCTGGCCCAGGTGCGGCATGGCCTGCGACTCCCGCACACTCACCTGTCCAGCGGCGCTTCGGGGTCGGCCGTGCGTGCTCCTCCGGCGGCTCCGCGAAGCCGGGCCCCCCGCCCGGCACATCTCCCGGAGCCCGGCCCAGGGGAAAGCGGGGAGGGGGTGGCTGAGCTAGGGCGGCCTCCGTGTCCCTTCCTTCCTCGGGCCCAGCACTGCCGCCACCGACCAAAATTTAAAAAGGGGGAAAAAGGGAAGAAAAAAAAAAAGAAAAAAAAAAAAAAGGAAAGGCGGATCGCGGCGCTCCGGAGGCGGCCCCGGCCCCGGGCGCGCGGGTCTGCGCCCCTCCCGGGGAGCGAGGCGTGGAGGCGGAGGGGCGGGGGCGGCGTCAGAGCTCGGGGGGCTGGGGCGAGGCGGAGCCCCCCGAGGCGGCGCCGGCTGCCCGCATCTCCCCCGCAGCTCCGCGGCCCCGACGGAGGCGGCACGTGTGTGCCCAGGCGACTTCCCAGCGCCCCCCGAACGGCAGCGGGAGAAGGGTTAACGCGGCAGCCCGGGCGGCCCCGCAGGCCCCCGCCGCCCGGCGGCGCCGCTCCCGGGCCCGCGCGGCCCCATCCGCCGGGGCGTCTCCGGCAGACAGCGGGGCGGGGGCGCCGCAGCGCTTACTGCTCCCGCGCCGACCGCTCGCGCTGCCCGCGGGGGGCCGGGGCTACGCGGCTGGAAGCAGGCGCGGCGGCGTCGCGCCCCAGGGGTGGCCGGAGCAGGGGGCGCGGGGCCGGGCCCGTGGGCACCGCAGGATGCACGGAGCGAGCGGGCGCGGGGCACCAGCAATGACAAGCCGCCTGCTCTCGGCGCTCCCGGGCCCGCCGGCTCCGGGAGGGGGGCGGCGGGCAAGCACAAAACCTGGCCTGGATTTGTCGCCCGGGACTGGCCTCCGCAGCCCTCCTGTGCGCGCCAGCGACGGGCCCGGAAACCCGGCCTGGAGTTCCACACGCCTCCCCCAAGGAAAAGTGGGCAGAGGGAGGCGACGCACTAGATCTAGTTGGGCCAGGGGGTGATGGGGTGCGACGGGCTGCAGGAAGAACCGGAACGGACTCTGCAGCCGTGCTGTGCAGAAAGCGCCTAGGCGGTGAGGGGTAAATGGGGAGATGTACAAGGACTAGGCAAAACCTGGCACAGATTAGGCGGAGCGGGCAGGGATGGCGGAGCGGGGGGAGGAGGGCAGGGGGCGGGGGCGCTTGTGGGAGCTGCGACAGGGCCAGATGCACTCGAAGCACGCAAATTTCGGGCCGGATTCTTCCAGGGGAGACGGAGTAATGCGTCAAGCCTGTGCAGTGGTAGCAAGCAAGACCTGGCCCAGAGTTTCTCTGACCTGGGCATACAGGAGGGTCGGAGGGGGTGCTGCTTAGCGACTGACAACAGCGTAGGCTGTTCCCCATCATCCCGACAGCGACGTGGAATAGGGAGGGCCAAAATGAGGGCTGTACTGAGGTATAGAGGGGTCCCGCGCGCTGGCTGCAACGGAGCCTGCAGGTAAAAGCGGCTTCAGGATCCTAGGTGATGCTACGGGAAGGGGATGTGGTGTGGCTCCCGCTACCCTGGGAGACCAGACCTACAATAAAAAAACGTGGGAGGGACGCAAAGCCAGGACTGGAGTATAGGCGGGATGGGATGAGCCACCCCTCACACACACACCCTCCCACCCAGTAGAAGAGAGCCCTGGCAACGGGACAGGTGCCTGGAGCTGACCAGGCTGCTGGAGCGGAGGAGAGGTTAGTATCTATAAACGCCTCAAGCGTCTGGCTTTGGAGGGGGTGGGTAGAGAAGGGGGAAAAAATTGAATTTTAGGTTGCTGGCGGGAGCAAAAGCCCGGTGCAGATTTTCACAACATAAGAACCGTACTGCAGCTGATGGACTCAAAGAAGTAGGGCAGAGGACCAGGCTTGGACTCTTAGGCATCGGACTTAGTGAGTGAGGCCAGAGACTGCGTTCAGGCCCCAGCTGCAGAAGAAGCCTCAGATTCCCTCTATGGATGGGGAAGGCCATCGACCTGGCCCAAATCCCTGGAGCCAAAGCTATCACTGCCAAGACTCATAGTGGGGGCTAAAAACCGGGCCTCGTGCCAAAAACAGGCACTTCGGCACTACAGACAACTCAGTGCAGGGTGGGGGCTGGGGAAGGGGGAGTCCTGAGAGCTAAGAGCGAAGCTTGGAAGCTGCCGCGCTGTGAATCCGTTTTTACGAAAGATGGGTGCAACTCTTAAAATTGATGGCTGGGGAGGAGCAAAACCCAGGCTTGGATTATTGGGGAATGGAGTCCACCCAAATGCAGCCTAAATATCGAATCAGGCAGCTTATTTGAGTTCAAAGACCGGCTGAAATTTAGCACTCTGGAAGCCTCAGGAGGGCAGATAAGCTTTGATGTGTATTTTTACAGAAAGGGATGTGTTGGAGCTAGAGCAGGGTTTAAAAGTCCATCTCTGTGTCTGTGGAAGGTGATGCATTGCTGACCAGGCTGTCTGCTGAGTGGGTCAAGTCAGGAAAGGCTTTGAGAGTAGACAGAATTGAAGCAGTCACTACACAGAACTTGGGTGGGCCTTCAATGGGAACAAAGATTATCTACAAAAGCCTGAATGCATGCATATGGGTAGGCCTTAATGTGGCTCCCAAGAATCCCTTCTAAGTAGCTCATGCTGGTGTTAGAATTGTGAGAGGAAGCACAGCAACAGTAGGTGTCTAGGCGGGCTGGGTAGGACAGGAGCCACCAGTGTGATTCTTGTCTCCACTTCTTTAAAAAGCACACCTTTCCTCCAGTACCGGGGGTTCTTGGCTCTTCAAAACCTACAATCTGCGGTCAGCAAACTTATGTGGGGTGCTGTATCCACCCCAGCCCCGCTGCCCCCCACGGAAAACTCCATGTTTCAAAAGCATCAGTCATGAACCTAAGTAACCAGGCCCTGGGAACCGAATCCAGGGAACCAAAGATGCAACTTGAGTGCAGAAAGGTGTGACCAACTGATGGTTATGTTGGAGAGGAGGGTCTCATATTTCTGTCCCTCAGTTTCCCACTTTGACATAACAACAGACCCCTGAAAGGCTTTGCTCTCCTCACATCCGCGCGCGCGCGTGCGTGCGTGTGTGCCTGTGTGTGTGTGTGTGTGTGTGTGTGTGTGTGTGTAGCACTGGGGCTAGCGCGTTCAATGACCTAGCTGTGGTTACCCAGCACATGTGAGGCCCTGGGTTCCACATCGAGCCTGAGGGGAGAGGAGTCCTTTGGCTACTAGCTTCTTTTTTCTCCCAGCAGCCCACTCATCTCTACCGCAAAAGCAATCCAGGAGGTAGTTCGAACTAGAACTCTCCGTTATGAGGAAAAGTCGCCGCATTTTTTTTCTTCTCTCTCTCTCTCTCTCTCTCTCTCTCTCTCTCTCTCTCTCTCTCTCTCTCTCTCTCTCTCTCTGTGTGTGTGTGTGTGTGTGTGTGTGTGTGTGTGTGTGTGTGTCTGTCTCTCTGTCTCTCTCTGTGTCTCTGTCTCTCTCTCTCTCACTCTCACTCTCTCACTCTCTCAGGACCAAGGCTCAGTTTGGAAAAATCCTGGCAGGATGTCCCCTCCCCCTCCTGCTTTCCAGATCCCTTCTCTCCCCCGGTGCTGGTGATCAGTGGTGCGCCCCTGGTGGCGGCTGGGTTGCCTTGCTAGCCTCCTTCCTGTGCGTGGCTCTTGGGTTCTTGGGCAGAGGGCTCACACGGCAAAGGACGTAAGGAGGCTGCGAACGCTAAGAGTCACCCCCACACCCCGACTCTCTGCCTGCGCAGTCGCAGTGGAGACTGTGCTGGCAGTTGGGCTTCGGGAACCAAAGCTTATGCGCGCGCGCAGAGCAGACTCTGCGGGGCGCCACTAACCCCCAATTCCTTAGTGGTACTGGAGGCCCTGAAACAGCACACTTCACTTCTAACATCCTGCTTTTCGCTTTGGACCATATGCAGAGTGACCACGTGGTTTGTTCCTTGACACTACATTCTGTACATCTAGTCCCATTGGATCCTATGCACAGGCTGTCTCTGTCTTGAGTACCTCTGTGTAAATGGAGTCCTTAATTGGCCTAAATAATAAAAACCCGGAGTCAGATATAGAGGAAAATGCTGAGAGATCAGAGAGAAGGAGCAAGCTACTACCACACCGTACCTCCTTTTCGTCTCAGCAGACAAGAGTGGAGAGACGGAAACTCAGTCATCACCACTGAGTCTAAAGGCGCGATGCTTCATCTTTTGAGTACCATGTTCTAGAGGGCACTTATGCCCGAAGTGTCCCAACACTCTGACTCTGTGATCTCTGTCATCTTTGGGATCCCATATTCTGAACATCTAGGCATAATGGTGTCCTCCTTGGGCCCTCCCTCATATGGCACCTACAGGCTCAGGCTCAGGGAACTCTTCTTGTCTCCAGAGCTCCCTGTTTGTTTGTCTCGGGCCTACTACCTTCCAGGGGTGGGAGTGGGTTTCTGTGCCTGCAAGAGTGAGTCCTGTCATAAGAGCTGGGTGTATTCCTGTGGTCCCTGGAAACTCCCTATACAGGATCCATCCAGTACCACACTCAGCCACTCAAGTGGATAGCATGATAAAGCCCACAGAGAATGCTGGGCATTCATGAATACATCTTTAACCCAGAACTCAGGTAGTTCAATGGCGGTGAACAAAGTGTCTGCCCTCTGGGACTGACATTCTAATTGGTGAAACAAATACAAGGTCCTGCAAATACCTGAAAGATAAACAATGCAAGAATACAAGTGCCACTGAGGAAAGGATGGAAAACGGACACCGAAGTGGTGGCAGGACCTACGGCTTCTTTCATGTTAGACAGACACTCTCCCATAACCCAGCACTACAGTCTTCAGTTAGGAGAGGTCCCTGAAGGTCTCTCTGAGAAGATGGGGTTTGAACAAAGACCTGAGAAAAGGGAGGAGCCACAGAGCTGGGGTGGGGATTGAGGAAGATCCCCCCAGACAGAGTGAACAGCCTTTTTCCAGGAAACGGAGGCGGAGAGACATTACATTGAGCAGATCAGTGAAAGCCCCTCAGATGAACGGGAGGAGGAAAGGGCAAGAGGAGGGAGTGACATATATTGTGCTGGCTTAGTGGGCTGTGTGCTGCGAGCTATGGGAAGTCGTTGAGGGAGAAAAAGAAGGTGACACTGAGGTTCGCAGGCCCTTCTGGCCATTGTGGGGGAAGGTATGGGGTTAAGAACAGATGCCAGAGACTCTGATCCTCCAGGGTCCATGCTAACAGTGGGATGCAATGAGGTGGTGAGGAAGACTTGGGGGCTTGGGGTGTGGCTCCTCATCAGAGCACCTGCCTAAAATCCCACTGTGAGTGCCTAGGAATGTTAAGTCGGTATTAG